TATATATATATATATATATATATAATTAACTTATTTTAAAAGTAAATTTATTTAAATTTATTTCACTTAATAATTCATGTTTTAACGATTTAATCATTAAGTTAAAAAATTTTAATGTATAGATTAAATATGTAAAATTTAAAAATTATATATAATACCATTTTTTAATTCTTAACAATCAAACTATTTTTTTTATAAAAAAAAAAACTTAATCATGATACTTTGTCGCTAAATTACCGATTTCATTTATCCAAAACAGCATAATAGAGATATGATGTAATGTTTCCTTGTATCTGATCAAGAAAAAACGTGATCCTTTGTTTTATAATATAGAGGCAAAATACAAAATTTCATCACATGCAGCACGATGAATCTGGCCGTAATTAATCAAAGATTTTAAAAATATGTTATATGGACTATATCATTGTATTTTGGAGTCAGACATTATTTATATTAAATACTATAATGCTTTGGCGTGATTGTATTAAATTCCATTTTTCAACTGGCGGTGGCTGACAAACCTAGTTATATATCCTAGAACTAAAATTTACGCAATAATTTATATGTGTAATAACTAGAGAATTGCGTGTCATACAACATTTTCAGTCAAGTACAATAATCAATTAAGCGATATAACGTAAAACACGTAAATCAATTGAGATATTCTAACTTAATAACATTTTAAGCATGCTGTTATCATAAATATTCATATAAAGAATTTTGTTGTCTATAATAATAATTTTAAAAGAATTGCTTCTAGTAAAAAATACATGTAATTTATTCTAACTTTAGCATCCATATAACAATTCCCCGGTTTTAAAACTTGACTGGCATAGTCAATTAACGGTTTATCCTCTCCAACGTGGACAATCCAATTTGTTTTCGGCTTTTATATATAGATCTTGTTGACTAATTTTTTTCACGAATGAATACACTGTATTGCATATCCCTCGCTTATATTTAAAGAAATCCTATTTGCCATCATAATACTAGTAATTAAATTTGCTTTACTATTTTCATGGATTCACAGGATCTATAAACTGTTTTCATGAATTCGTTTGGCAGGAATGGAGCTGGAGCCCTGCAAGAATATTGAATAGCTATTGTCTGTGACTATCAATACAAGAAAATTTTTTTTGTCAGAAACCAGGGCTCGTGTTTGGCTTCACCAGGAAAAAGACCTTTTTTCTTGTTTTGAACGAAAAACAAAGGCAAAAGTTAGAAACATTTTGCAAACTTTGCAAGAGACAGAATTTTACGCATTATATAGTCCAACCAATTGCACTAAGTATACAAATAATCCAAATCTTATCTAAATTATGTCAAGTCAAAAAGTTGTAATATTAAATAATGTCTACCTAACATATATAGGTCATGCCAGTAATTTATCAGTTGAATGAATAAAACTTAAATTGAATGATATCTTGTACACAATTAGTTAGATCTAGGAATTGCTGACTCAATCAGCAAAACATGCAAATTTATCAGAAATCATGCTTGAGGATGGAGATGGTCTTATTAAGTGCTTCTCAAAAGGAAAAATGTTACTCTATAAGATATAAGATATGTATCAAACCATCACACCTCCCACTTAACAACATCTTTAATGCTATTTATATATAAAGTAGTACACATGTTTTGGAACATCTAAGAATTCTCGGGATACGGAGATTAGCTATACATTTTTAAGTGAAGGGACTAAACATGAACTATCATCTTATGTCATGCCAAGCTCATATTATATACGCCAATACTGAATAGTATATACATACTTATACATAACATCATCATGCATTTTACAGCCATGTCTGAACCATCAGACTACGCAATATCTGAACCATCAGAATCGCTCTCCCTGTTACCCCCACTACCCGACCCTATCCTTAATTTGCACACAGGACATGTTCCTTGTTGTCGGAGCCATGGATCAATGCAGTTGGCATGAAACTGGATAAAAAGAAAGTACATCAGTCATTTATGCGAGGTAATGTTATCAACATTTACAGCTTTAAGAAAATATTAAATTATTAACCAGTTAAGTGAAGGAGAATAAGTTCAACCAACGTTAAGTGGCAGCGATCACACTTTAATTAAACAAATAATTCTGAACAGATGAACAACAATTAAGTGACATATTTTGAAACAAATGAACATTCCTAAAGTGACAGATAATTCGAAATGGAGGATGCATGTGCTGGTTAAGCACAACGAAAATGTCTGTTTGGAAAAAAAGTTACTTTAAAGTGACAAATATTTTGAAACAAATGAACATTCCTAAAGTGATAGATAGTTAGAAAAGGAGGAAATATATGTTGGTCAAGCACGTCGAGGAGAGCTGTTTCGTGAAAAAAGTTATTTTAAAGTAACAAATATTTTGAAACAAATCAACATCCCTAAAATGATAGATAATATGAAGTGGAGGAAGTATGTGTTAGTTAAGCACATTGGGTAGAGCTGCTTGGTGAAAAAGTAGCACAAGCCCGACCAAAACAGGAAAAAAAAAAAAAGAGCAATATTGACTGCATTAGTCAGGATTTGGCTCCCCCAGTGAGAAGTGCACTTTAGAGGTAAAGTGCGGATTGGAAGTTGTTGATAAAATATATGCACATGTTAATTATGAACTAGCAAAAAGCCTGAAGAGAACAGTAAAACAATAATGAGTAATATTAACAGTATTATTCGAAAGATATGAAGAATTCTTCCCCCAATATTATTAAAAGAATAGAAATTAGCTGTCCCGCATGCTTTAGTTCAAATGGATTTATCTAGAATATGATATGACAGGAAAACTCAGGAACCGATAGCTTTATATCTGAATATGGCACTGATTAATGATTATCAAAAAATAAACCTGATAATTTGAGAGATAAGTACTAATCTCCGTTGATGGTAAATAAATTTTAAAAAATAACTGAAGAAAGATAAATATAGGCAGTGATCGAACCTGATGCAAGCATGGCAAGCTACGAATAAGCTCCCCCCTCTTCACTTGGTCCAAGCAAATAGTACACGTCAGCTCATCTTCGGGAACTTTGATACCTGTCTCTGTGCCTCCAGATTCTTGCTTTATCTGATTGAAACATTAAAGAAAAAAACTAAAAACCAAAAAGAAAGTAGGGGCAATTTCTCCCCAGATTTTTGTAACAAGTATACAAAATAGTCAGTATTTAATTACACAAACACCATGATCATCATGCATTAGAAGAATCATATATCAAGAAACAATTTGTTTTCTTCAAAAGCATATCAATGAAGAGGACACCACATCAGGGATAATTATCAGATAATTTGCAACTTGTATGCCAGGGGATTGCCTAAAATACTTATGACAGGCCACAACATCATATAGACCACCAGTGGTGCATAAAGCTAACAACCAAGAGTAAAAACAAGTTATACATTTACATCATTATTACCATGAAATACCATAACTCAAACAACCTAGTGAGACCTAACAAACTAAAAGCAGAGACAGATAACAAATATTTACCTCAGCTGCACCTGAAGAGGATGCCAAACCAGCTGAGCCATCTCTGTTAACATAATAAATTGTATCAACTTACATATTATGGTTTAGAACTTCTTTACATAAACGCAGATGCACACGGAGGAAACTAACCCTGTTAACAATTTACCCTAGCTTGAGAACCCTAAAAATATAAATAAAAAAAAATAAAAAAAGAAACAGAGTATCAAGTGCATTTTTCTCAATAAGCTATTACTTATAATGTTTTCCGAGCAATGCTGTAACAGCACAGCCTCTTTCTCTCAAATGGCCAACTAGTATGCAATGAGTGCCAATCAGCCGTTCAAGATCATTGTTCTATTACCCAGTAATTATGTTTCTTGTACAAGACATTTAACTTACCACAAATTTAGGATGAATATTAGCAACAAATATTTAGTTTTATAGTTTGGGTCACAACTGATGGTTCCACATGCTATATTCCAAAAGTTTTCAAAATACAACATCAGCAATAGACTAATAGCTAGGGGCATAAATTCAAAAACTCTGTCAAAGCCAACCTTGGCAGTTTACTGGGACATGCTCATTTCTGCATGGAGTAAGAAATATGCTCAATAATAAATAGTTTTCTAAAAAAAAATACTGTAGACATGAGCGAATCACCCATCACTAACAACAATTCAGCAGTAAGTGCCTTTTCTACGGAACAAGCAGAATAAGGTGGAATTGACCCTACAAACACTGACCTGCGGGTAAAGAAAAATAGAAACAAAACAATGCAAGCATATACGGCAAGCTTTTTTTTTCTAATTCAGTGGTATTATTATTATTTTAAGAAACCATCACAACTCACTTGGGTGGGACAGGAACTTTATATGAGTGAATAGGCAAAGCATTTATCTCTTCCTCAGTCATTGAACGAGTGCTAGAAGCAGTCTCAGAGTCCAGAGCTCTCAAAGTGTCATAATCTGCCACAGAATCAAGAGGAAAAAAAACTTGCAAAAATGCACACTTAAAAAAAAGCTATTAAAGTATTCATCTGCTTCAAGCACCTGTTTTACAGCTTTAGGCCTTTTCAACTTAAAAATGATGTCAAAATACACATTCAAAGGTACAACTCAGCAGCATAATACCTAGCTCATCAAATTCACGGTCAAGAAGTGCAAGTTGAAGTCTAAGTCCTTGCAATCTTCCTCTGGTTGCAATTGCAATCGATGGTGGCATGTGAAGACGGAGTTCAGTATGGCCAAGCAACCCAGAGGCTGCTGCAGCATGAGCCCTGGCCTGTGCTTGAAGCTGTTGACAAGTTGCATACATCCTCAGACTCGTAGCCATCACAAAGATAGCCAGTACAGCCCAGAGCTGAAATGATATGTGCCAACAATTACTTTCTTCATCTAATGCAGATGAGAAGTAATACGAAAACTAGTGACTACATCAAATTTAGCAAATTTTAATTGATTACTTACCAAAAAATGATGTAACATTTGAGGGGAGTTTAATATCATGAATATCAAAATAACTGTCAAATAAGCATGTCAGATACAGATTAAGAATCTGGTCATATGAAGCAGTAAAGCATTAGATACAGTAGTAATTACATTACCCGTGATAAGAAAAGCTAGAGAATTGCCATTAACTGGTCGAGCTGGATGAACCCGCTGACAGGAAAAAGTAGAAAAAGAGCATGAGAATCACTGTACAATTATGTACAGTCTGAGCTGAGTAGAGAAAAAAAGCAAACACACAGACTGACATTCGCACACATTAAGCATACCATCAAGGTTCTTTCAGGAACATATTCTGGAAAGCCACTTTCAATATCTCCCCTACTCCCTCGGAAGACAAAACTCATGATTGCAAAGGAGCTCGTTTAACCAACAATTCACAATGACACTACCTGCAAGTATTGTGCCTTTGATTTATTACACCAATTAATATTAATCAAGGCACTAACTTTTGGTGATTGATGTTTTGAAAAATACAACATACAAATTTGACACTGATTATGAAAGAAAAAAGAAGTAGTTACCCATTCAAGAATCAAACAAACCAGACAAAGTCACAAACAGAATTCCACACGTGAATTTCTGAAACTGAATGATTAATTGCAGCAAAGCTCTTTTTAAAGATTGACCATTAATCACAGCAGATATAATTGGATCATAAATCGTATCTCATACTCCAGTACCTTATCTAGACTAAATTTTGTACAAATTACAAATAGGTCATTAGTTTCATCAAGCTGCATTGCTTGCAAAACTACGAGTTGAAGCTGATCAGATCCAGTTTTTAAGTTTAGATTCAAAACTTATAAAAGATGGCAGGATAACAAATTCTTTTCTCTTGAATGAACAAAAGAAAATATTTTTTGTTTTTTGATGCCACGCCCATTGACCAATATAATTTTATTTCTTCGTTAGGCAGAGTGCTAAAGATTCAGAAAAGTTATTTGAATTCGATTCAGCATAAGGAATTATGTACAGCATGGAAGTCCAACATTGCAAAAAAAAAAAAAAAAAGTGAATGTTAAGAGAGTAAAAAACTCTCTCATCCCATGTACTTGTCGATTTACTAAATTACCACACAGCACTCCCCCACTTGTAAGGAAAATTCTAAGGAAATAATTTTGGTGCAGAATGCAGATGCTTTTGCTGATTTGGGGGACCATGCACTCTAATTCGATCAGCATGTAAAAACAGGCGATTTGGCGAAACAAAATATCATCAGGGCAGAGAAAAAGAAGAAGAAGAAGAAGAAGAAGAAGAAGAAGAAGGAGAAACAAAGTTTCAATTCCAGGCAAATTCCCAAACAATGACGACCTGGAATATCAAGAATACCTGAAAAAATATCAGGAATAGGCAAAATGAACAGCTGCAACCACCGTACGAAACCCACATTACAATTAATGAGATGAGAGGATCATCAATTTATGACTAAATTTTCATTTTCATACACTACAAATTAGTGAAATTACAAAAACAATAACCATGAACATCCTTACCCAAATCAAAATGTCTCCAAACGGAGTTGTAATTGTACCAAATGTTACAATTATTGATTCGTTACTGTTAACGTTGTTGGTGTGGTGTGGTGTGGTGACGGTGCGTTCACTCACTGCTGTGCTGCAATATAAGAATTGGAAATGCTATTTGTAGAAACATAAAGCATTATATTTATATATGTAGATACAAAAGGATGCGTTTCTATTAATCTATAGTTTTGACGTTTACTTTTTCTTAATAATTATTTGTATAGCTTTTCCTCCTCCTCCTCCGTAAATAAAATAAAATAGGTTAAAACTCTGATTTGGTCTCTTATAATATTTTTTTGTTTCAATTTAATTTCACTTTATTTTTGTTTTAATTTGGTCCCTAATAATTTAAATTATTGTAATTTGAGACTTCCGTCCAAATGATTTAAACGGAGTTATCTGTTGACCACATGGATGTCACATGGATGTCACATAGATGCATAGGTGGATGCCAAACTTCGTGAATACACCTGGAACCAAAACGGCTCGTTCTGAAACCAGAACGACCTGTTCTGATTGCACATGCTATGTGTTAATCTTGCAACTGGAACGGACCGTTCCAAATACAAATTTAACACAACATGAGTGCAGAAGAACGGGCCGTTCTGAATCCAGAATGGCCCGTTCCAGAACGCCAACTTCATGCTTTTTATTGTATTTTATTATTATTATATATATATATATATATAAATATAATAAATAAAAAATAGAATAAATTAATATTCATTTATGAATAACTAAAAAAAATCAAATAAGATAAGATCTTCCAAAATCCTTCTTTGATTTGAACTTATCCAGTTCAAAATCTTGACCAAAATGCCGCAATATGATTCAAAAGTTAAAAATAAAAATTCATAACATATCATAAATTCAAAGACAGAAACATGGTTTAGAAACTGAAAATAAAAATTCAGAACATAACATATACTAAAAATATTCAAAGAAATTACTGAGAAAGAAAATCATCTGGGTAACGCCGAAGGAAAACCCTTAACCACAAAAATTCAGGTTGTACCTCCTCAAGAATAGGTTGTTATTGTTGGGGGACATCGTTAATGACTTCAAGGGAAAACACCGTTTCGTTTCATCCTTGACTGTATAGTGTCAATTTGGTAGTAAGTGGTTCACTCCAGTTTGACTAACAATGAAATAAAATTTGCTACCATTGTCCTTAGTGATACACTGCATCGTCCTTAATGATATACTGTATAGCCCAAATGTTTAGCAATTGAAATTATCAATCTCCATTGACAATATTACCAAATCTAGTGTTTGAAATGTTTTGTACCTTAATTTTTTTTTTGAAATTCTGGAACCAGAATGGCCCGTTCTGAAACCAGAACGGCCCGTTCTGAAATCAGAACGGCCCGTTCTAGTTACACTATTGATGTGTTATTTTTGCATTTAGAACGGTCCGTTCCAGTTACAAAATTTATACACCAAGAGTGCAACCAGAACGGACCGTTCTGGTTCCAGGTGTATTCACAAAATTTGAGATCCACCTACGTGGCATCCACCTGACATCCACGTAGCCACCAATTAACTTCGTTTAAATCATTTAGACGGAAGTCCCAAATTGTAATAATTTAAATTATTAAGGATTAAATTGAAACCAAAAATTAAAATAAGACTAAATTAAAAAAAATATTATAAAAGACTACATAAAGATTTAAAAAAAAAAAAAAAAAAAAGTGGTACATAAGCGTAAAATGATTAATTATTGGTGGAATAAGAAAAAGAAAAGAGTAAACATGGGAGACACAACTTCTTTAATATTTATTTTGGATATGGTAGGTAGTAAAATCTGGAGAAGTCTAGAGTGTAAGAGATGCCACGTCGAGTTGCTAATTATGGAGCCACTGCTGCTACTGCCACGCCTTCTTCGCATGCAGAAAGGTGCAACTTACGCCGATGCAAGCTCGCAATCAACACCGACACTGCCACGATTCAATTTTTTCCATCAAATATTTAATGAAAAATATACTTATTTAATTTATATAATTAGAAGGAAAAAAAGAACATTTAAAATGTAACTGTACCCTCTTAGCTCCAAGCCTGATCGACACGTTACCATTACAAGTAAGTTTGGACCAATTACATCTTACATAATGTTTATCGAACGACTATTAACAAAATACTCAGATACTCACCAAGGTTAACAAATCATAAGTATATACAATATATTAAGATAATTTATATAGGGAAGGCGATTCTTATTATAAAAATTATTTTTTAAGATATTACCATAACAAGTCATTTATACATATACACCTAAAGATAACGGTCCATGTGAATTATAAAGAATAAAAGATAAAAAATAGATTAGACAAAATAATCATATAATTAATAAACAGGTTAGACAGACATAAGAGTTTTCTCTAATTACTTTTGAATACTTTGATGACAGAGTTTTCTCTTTATCAATTGGAACATTTTGGTGTCATTTGCAGTACTATGCTAGAATCTTTTTTCTAGTGTCCATTTTGCAAATCTCACAACTTGAGAGCTAGGTAAAGATGGTGAAAAATCAAGACATTATTGGAAAGCAATTGATGGCAGTGATGGATGACATGCACAGAGAGAGTAAGGAGTCAAAAAGGAGTGTAGATGAGGTCAAAAGGAGTTACGAGGTTCAGGAGTAGATGAATCGTGAGAATGAGGCTGCTTGGGAGGTTATGAGAACACATGATTCCAACCTAAGACGCTTGGAAGGAAATGCAGTGTGGTTGATCACTCTTGGGATTTCAACCCTTTCTAGAACCAACTGAAGTGGAACCTATATCTCTTCACTTTTTGGTTCCAAAGGTGGAGTCATTTGATGGAGCTCAAGATCCCAGTAAAAATTTGAAGATGTTTTGAGCACAAATGTTGATTAATGGTTGGCCGTTGATTTGGATGCCTTCGCATGTTTGTTTGTTGCATTATTCATGACTAACAAGCAAAAAACCACAAAGTGAGCAAATCTATTTGACTTGTCAAAACTAAGAGTTGTTGAAAGATTACCTAATGAGGTTTGATAGGATGAGGATGTTCGTGGCAACCATTGTAAAGGTCTTTAGGCAAGCCTATTCAATGAATATCTTGTTCACCAAAAAGTTAAGACAATTATTGAGATTCATACAATGACTACTTGTCATGTTAAAGTCGAGGAGACGATGGCTATCAAGTGTGCTATAGAAAGACAAGAAGGACCATCAGGTATGAAGTTCTAAGAAAATAATCTAAAATCGAAATCAGGTTAGAGTAAGAAAAGTGATGGAGGTTGATCAAGAAGAAACTACATAAGGGAGGATAAAGTGATGGGTTTTGAAGAAATTTCACACCACATGCCGCTAAATATTTTGAGGAGACATATCTTGAAGGATGTGAATTCGATGAGGTTGCTTGAATTCCTATGAGGTGGGTGATAAACAATTGGGGCGGGCAAAACAAATGTTGCAAGTTGCATCAAATCAATGGACATGACACTGAAAAGTGTTTCAAACTTATAAAACAAAATGAGAAAATGATTAAAGATGGGGTATTTTTCCAAGTATGCGAAGTATAGAGGCAATATTAAGGGAGGGAGTTCTTGAGATGATCAAATAGAAGAATAAAGAGATTAGTGAAGAAATGATTAGGGGATCCTCCTTCTAGTGTGTCAACATCCAACAGAGGTCGAAAAAATATGGAGCATGATAAACCAATTCTTGGTGATTTTAACACTATTACAAAAGACTTTGTGAGAGGAGGGCCAACATCGTTGATTCATAAGTGATATGTTAAGTTAATTATGATGATGGAGATTTAATCAACTATTTCGTCTTTAAAATTTTTTTGATATGGACTTTAATGACATGGTCCAATGTGATCATGATCTCATTATCATTTTGAAGAACATGATAAATTTAATGCGAAAAGAATTTTAGAAGATCAAAGAAGTTCGAAGGATGTTATTAGGGTTACAAAACTTAAAAAAAAAAAATTCATTGTCCAATTTTATGTCAATGATTGATCCAACTTACACCTTAGTGGTTCCATCATACTCACACTTAGTCAAGTTCTTTTGATATCAACACCAAATTTTTGTTCAATAATTCATATTTTACATCAAATTTTAACGATCCAACCATTGAATTTAAAATTTTTAATACATAGATCAAGTCTACAAATGTAAAAAAAAAAAAAATGGAAACCAATTAGTACTTTATTTCATTAATTCAAATTGATGGATAATCATAAAATCATTTTATACGTTGATTATCCATAAATTTGAATTAATGAAATAAAGTATTAAATGATTTTCATTTTTTTTTTAAATTGCAAACTTGATCAATGCATCAAGAACTTTAAATTCAACGATTGGATCGTTAAAATTTGATGTAAAATATGAATTATTGAATGGAATTCAAAAGTAAAATGAAATACAATAAATATTGATATTACTATTTTTTAAAAAATTGTCTTATAATATAATTTATATTATTTGAACTTACTAAAAATAAAAATCTTTTTCGTGAAGAGTAAAAATTTGGAACTGAAAATTTTGAATATTATCCTACTGATCGAGTAAAATATGAATATGAATTGTCATGCATAGACGAACCAATATTACATATTAAACTTGGTTGTGATTGCACATCTACTCAAGTCAAAGAATAAATTATCATATTGAAAGGAATATTTAATATCAATATTTATATATTAAACACGAATTTCTATCTTATTCCAGAGTATTTTTAAGGACTTTCTTCAATTAGAGGGTTTGTAGGAATTTTTTAACTTCTTATCTAATTCCTTTTTTATTTATCATAATTATTTATAAATTAAATATTAATATTTTAAAATAAATGGCCAATAAACAAAAATATTTTTTGTTACAATACAAATTATTTATCATAAATCTAAAATATAGTTTATATTTTTAAAAATATTTATAACTTGGTTGTGATTGCACATCTACTCAAGTTAAGGAATAAATTATCACATTGAAAGGGATATTTAATATCAATCTTTATATATTAAACATGAATATTTATCTTACTCGATAATATTTTTATGAACTTTTCTTCAATTATAGGGTTTGTAAGAATTTTTTTAACTTCTTATCTAATTTGATTTTTATTTATCATAATTATTTATGAATTAAATATTAATATTTTAAAATAAATTATTAATAAATAACAATATATTTTTTTAATACAATATAAATTATTTATCATAAATCTAAAATATAATTTATATGTTTAAAAATATTTATACATATAATATTTTTTATATAATATATTATAAATTTTAATTATATTATCTATAATAACCATGTCTTTGCATTAAAGCTAAAATATTAGTTGACATAATACTTAATATTATTGTAGTTTTATTGAAAACCTACACGATTACATGCATGAAGTAAATATTTCCCATGTTTAAGCAAGGTCAGAGGTTCGAATCCTACCTTGTGTATGCAGCTACGTTAAATCTTGGGACCAGTGTTAAGTCTCAATTATACATCTTTTTGAATGAGAATTATTGTACAACTCTACTCATTCTTAGCACCATTGCAAGATAATTGTCCCCTTTTTGACTTATCTTTTGTGCAGATATAACTAACCCATTTTAGCTAACAATACCTTAATACACCTCATTTTTTGTGCAGGTATTGAGCTAGAGATTAGAGGATTGAAGATCTTTTGGATTGGAAACATAAGGAGCCAAGGAGCAGAGCAGAGTGGCTGCGCCGGGCGCAAGATGACTCCGCGCCGGGCTTGAGAAGAACAGAGCAGTGGGCTTCTAGAAGTCATACACGCGCCGGGCGCGAGACTCCACCACGCCGGGCGTGATCGAGGCAGAGAGTACCTCAATACTCTCTGGAACGAATTGCGCCGGGCTTGATCTAAGGCAGAGAATGCTTGAAAGCCTCTGGAAGACACTGCGCCGGGCGTAAAAGTAATTGCGCCGGGCTTATAACGAGGCAGAAAGTGCTCAGAAGACTCTGAGCCGGGCGCGAAGACTTAGGCGCCGGGCGCGAAACCCTAATCTGACCTCCCAGGCTCGTATTTGAAGCCATTTTCGAGGGTTTCTCCCTCATTCACACATTGGGCGCGTTTTGGGAGCTGTGGAAGGGATTCCCGGAGCTTGGAGCCGTTCGTGTGTGGGTCTTTCCTTCGGTTCTTCATTTCTCCCTTCATCTCTATTTTATATTTACCCTCTTTGTTGAGTGGTTTCACCCATTTTTGTGGGGTTAGATGTAACCAACGAATTCTATTGTAATCCTTACGGTTTTTATGATATATATACATGTTGTTTCATTCATTGTTGTTTATGTTTCTATTCTTAATGCTTGCTTTGGATTTAATCTCATTGCATGATATAGGTTCCATTGGGTATTGGAAAATAACCCTTGAAACTAGCTCTGAAACAAATGCCTAGTGGGAAATGTATCTAGGAATGGAGCTTAGCCCATTAGTAGTCTTAAACCCTAGCCCGTAATGCGGATGTAGATATTGGGTACTCAAGGGATTGATATTCAATATCCACATCTAGGCTCTTGCTCTAAGGGATTAGGTTTGAGTAAACTTATGGGTTGACTAAGCAATGAATTCAACAAGAGATTAAGGATACATTAGTGTTACGTTTGGTGAAATCTGACCCCCACAACCTCACAATACCACAATACCATTCCTTACCTTTTCCACTCACAAAACAATATTTATTTACAGCTTTCATTCCAATAGTCACAACTTTGCATTCACTGCACAAACTATGAAATTGGAATTATTCTTTAGTCACGAATAGTCAATAAATGCTTATATTACCTTCTAATCCCTGTGGATACGATATTTTTACTACTTGAACGGCCGGTATACTTGCTGTGTTTGAGACCGTTGATAGAATTAAACGAAATTTCAATTATAACAAAAGTACTTCAACGGAAATCTCAACAAGTTTTTGTATCCCACCCTTCGAATGCCTCCAACGTAGCGAGGAGATTAGTTACTGTTATTAGCGGTGAATACTTAAGGGACGAACAAATAAAAAATAAAAAATATTCTTAGCATTAAATTAAATAAAATATGATTTAATTTAATCAAAAGTTGATTAATTAAATGTGATTTAATCATTTGATAAGAAAAATAATTAAGTGAAATTTAATTAAATAAGACATAGGTTTATAAAATTATTTTGAATTTTTATTTATTTATGTATTTAATTTTTTTAATCTTCTTAGGAGTTGCCATGTGAATTAATAACATACACTTGCTAGACTTTTATTTTTTTTAATAATGGAATGTGTGTCCACATAACATGCCACATGAAATCAAGTTACACTAGAAATCATCATTCAATTTAGCAATTTCTTGATAACATAAAAAAAAAGTTCAAATTCAATTATATATTTCAAAATAAACTTGTTTTAATACTTAATTTTACCCCCACTTTAATAGTAGTAGGCCCTCAAAGTGGAAACGTAATTTGTTTTCAAAGGTCACAATCTATTAGGATTATTTTGATTTACTCTGTCCACCTCAACAAATTACATTACATGACACATTATTGACTTAGTTACACGTGGCATAATTTGACGTGGCACCTTTAACATCTAACAGTGGAGACCAATTATTACAGATAAACAAAAAAAGACAAACGTAGCTAAAATGTGACAAAAACTAGAGAGGAAAAAAAAACTAAAATGTAAAAACAAAACATATAACCTTAAAAAAATACAATGACAAAAAAAATATTTATAGGCGCTCAAAACAAATTATATTATAATCAAGTATTTATAATAAATAAATATTTTAAACATATATAATATATTATTAATTTATAACAAATATTTTGTATTGTAGTACAATATTATTTTAATTATTAATGACTCCTTTTAAAAGTATTAAAATCAATTTCAAAAGACAAATGAGAAATTTAAAAAAAAAAAAATCCTAAATTCACTCCTAAATCCTAATAACAACGTTGTCGATAAAAATACAATATCTCTTACAAACATTCTCCTTCAAAATAATTATTATTGAAAGGATCATTACAAAATTTAATTTTAAAGTGAACTAGCCAGACATTGATAATAATAAATAAATAAAAAAAGGTGAACTAGCAAGACGTTAGACGATTACGCAACAGTAAACTGATGTACCAAAAGAAAACACTGGACACAATCACGGACATTAGGTTATCGAGAGAAGTAGGTAATAGGTTTTATTTGATATCATACCTTGGCCTAATTCCCTAACATTGTCATTTTAATTCGTTTCAAAGATTCTGGCAATCGTATAAAATTTAGATAAAACAATTCTTACACCTCTAATTTACAAACAAACGGATTTGAGAAGAACCATGACTTGATAAATGAAAACAAAATTGCTTTCAAGGTCAAAGATAGCCAACTGCGCTAAGCCCAAAACATAGCAAACTAACCGGCAGTGAAAACTTCAAATTTAAACCACACCTGCCAAAATTCAGAATCGCATGCCCAATTTGAAGTGCTAGAAAGACAAAATGATGGTTGGAAGAGCACTATTAAACAGTAGCTAGTAGACATGTGGTTGCCACGACTATTTGAAAAACAAAGCACATAAATCAAATAAAGGGAACCTTTATGGAATCCACGGCACCTCCCAGGAGAATTATTATTGGAATAACAGGAATTAAGCACAACCATCAGAACCAAAAGAGAAACAACAGACAAGGAGAGAATAAAAAATTGCCTTTAATCTTTTAATCAAGTTGCTAGAACAAAAGGTGAAAAGAGGGATTCATGAAACTTAGGAATTCATCATGCAATCAACAAGTAGCTCAATAATAGAACAAAAGTCCTGCAGCACAAGGGCACAAAACATTTCAAAATTGAGACATTTTTTTCAGATGAATTATGATTACCAAACTACAACAACAATTTAGCAGCTGTTCATTCAAATTGCATTTCCTATGCAGCATCCTCTTCCCATCCCCAATCAACTTAAAAGGATCACACCACAGAAAAAGTGACTTATCATCATCACTTCATCAGCATATTGGTCAAAACATCATGGTGCCGCAAGTTGAAAGAGGCATCTCAGAAAACACAGTCTTGAAAGAATATAACATGATATTATAAACAAATCAAATAATTCAGTTCACGGGAAACAAAGCATCATTCTTGTCCCAGTCCACTGCTACAGTTAGTGATTGCCAACTGGTAAAAGCGCACAACACATGTTTGATTCAATTCCACACCGAAAAAATAGCACTCTTCATTCCTTGAGCCACCATTTCCGAACAAGCAAAACACAGCTTCTATTGATATTGAATCAATCCATATAATACTCTCCGACAGAGAGGGGAAACTGAAAACTACAATTGCTTCTATATTTGCTAGTTACATGCTATTTACAGTATGAAATGAATCTAAAAAAAAGAGTATTTTTAGCAAAATTGGCATCACCTATCATCAATCCAAGACCCAAGTCCTGCTATGGCTCCGCGAGCTTCTATTGAACAATGAACTCACTTGGCTACGGCTTCTACTCACGGACCCATGTTCAGAAGAGTTCCTAGAACCGATTCTTCCAAAGAATGAAAAGAAATTGCGAATAACCCTACCAAACCCTCGACTCTCCCTAACCCTATTGCTTCTCACCGACCGAGAAATTCTCCTCGGAGCACCGTTCGCGTTCATCCCGCCGTCCATCTCCGTGTACACCACCGGGAAGTGATTATCGCCGCCCCTACGACCGCCGGAGAATCTCCCCACGGCGAATCCCCCGCCGGGGAGCCTCCAAATCGTTAACCCTATGGCCTCCTCGTCGATCTGGCTCGGAACCCTAGTTTCCAAATCGGAGGGAAGCTCGTGGCGGCACACGGGGCACGAGTTGCGCATGGAGAGCCACGGGAGAATGCAATCGGAGTGGTAGATGTGCTTGCACGGTAACTCACGCGCCTCCGCGTGAAGCTCAAACGCCTCCTTGCACACGGCGCAGTGCGCGTCGGTTTGGACCAGCGCCTCTCCGATCTCGACCGTCGGCATGGACTCGATCGCCGCCTTCGACGCCGGCGGATTCTCCGGGCGGCCGAAGCCGTTCATCTCGATCTGCGCGAACTGCTCCAGGAGGCGGTCGAAGCCGGAGCCGAGGAGGAACTCCGACATGGTGGGCGGGAGGGGGCGGAGGCCGGAGCCGTCGCCGTCGTCGTAAAACAGCTCGAAGGAGGAGGCGGCGGCGGCATCCTGGTCGGCGTCGTCGGCGGGGCCGCGGAGGACGATGACAGGGTTGAAGGGGGAGCGGTTGGCGGCGTCTCGGCGGCGGCGGCGGAAGCCCTGACGGCGGAGAGAAAGCGGGTCGTGGTCGGGGAAAGGGCTGAGGCGGTGGCGCGGGGAGGCGTCGGCGGGTGGTCGGATCTCTTCGACGAAGCCTGTCTGGCAGTGGGGGCAGGCGACGGTGGGGTGCGCGGAGAGGTGGACGAAGCGGGTGCAGCTGTAGCACCAGTACGACGCCGTTCCGTGTTGCGTTTCCGAATTCATGTTTTTGGTTTTGACCGAATAGAGAGTGTGCGATGGGTTGAAGGGTAGAGCCTGAATTTAAAAGCAATATGAGTAACGTTTGCGTGTTTGCCCACGCGTTAAGACCTACTCGAACATACATCGCAACTTCTCACTTCTTTTCTTTTCTTTTTTCTTTTTTTTATTCTTCTTACTGTGTAAATCGAACTCACCTCTTCCTAACACCACTTTTCTAGCTGTCAACAAAATAACACCACTTTTCCATAAATACTTTTTCCTACTTTTTAACAATACTTATTTCTATCTACTTTAATAGTACTCTCCATTTTAAACATACAGCTATATTAAATAATTAAAACATCAATTTTATGGTGTATAATTGTTTTATTCTATTCAAATAAAATCATCTATACTAATAAATATTATATTTATTTTATATCGTAATGAAAAATATTTAAGTCTCATCGATTTTATACTATTAAATTAAATTTTAAATTTAAATTATTTTTTAAAATGATATTAAAATTATTTAAATTTATTCTAAAAGAGTCATTCATTATTGATTCATGTACCAGATTCAATAATAATAGATATGAACGAGTATTTTAAGAAAAAATTCAAGTCTTACCAATCTTAAATTATTAAAAAAATATATCAAATCTAATATTATTAGATATTATTTATTATTTTATTAATTTATCATACCATAAATTATTCAACTACTACAATCAAAACTATTACTTAAAAACGTAAATTTAATGTTGTTTTTAATATGTAAAAACTTTTAGTCAATTTATGCCTTAATTATATAGAAAAATATATCTTTTGAAAACAAAAATGATATTTGAAAGACTTAAAAATGTAATGAAATAAAACCTTTAAATAAATATTTAAAAAAAATCAATTAAAGAAAATTTATAATTCCAGAACTTTCCAAGTCAATGATAAGTATTTATGTTAAGTTTTGAAAAGATAAAATAAAGTTTTAAATATCTTCGAACTTCACTTATTTTTTAAAATTTTTAAATCACGAGGTAGACTTTTGGAATCCAAAATTAACCATAAATAATGTGAGAAATACAGTGAAGAAAGGATATTTATTGTTTTTGTATAATATATAGTATTTTTCTAAAAACACGTACATTTCTTTAAAATTAAGTGTAAGTCAAATATGTATCAGAATTAGAAACAATAATTTAGTAAAATACAAAAGATGGGGGCGACTTGCGGAGGAAGATAAAGAATTAAGAAAGAAGAATGGTTTTGGGTTTTGACAGAGATTGAGTCTTTTTAATTAATTAATAATTAGATTGAGGGCGTAAGGGATGATGTGACGAGGGCGTGACCAAACCGAACCCTAAGCGAGGAAGAAGAAATACGAGTGTTGACCGTTGACCGCCAGAGAAGAGACGCCGATTTTGATATTTGAACGTAAATTTTTTAAATGTTTAGCAAAAGCCGTTACTGTTGCTGCCACCGTCTAAGTTAATGTTAAGATTAGATTCCTTAAACGAGGAAAAAGTGTGTGTTCTGTTCTGTGTGCTGTGTGCTGTGTGCTGTGTGCTGTGTGGTCCTTCATCTCCATGTGTTGTCTTCACTTTTCCATTTCACAACTCTCTTCTTCACCATCTTCGCCTTGGCCCCACCTTCACGCTCCCAAAACCCTTTTTCTTTTTCTAATTTCATTTCTTCCTTCTTCTTACTACTATTCTTGTTCCCTACTAATCTCACACACCTTATAGGCTTATACTTATCCATGTTTTACTAAAATGATTTCTTTTTTAACATTGTTAATCTTTTTTTCGGATTTAATTACACACACGTGTTGAATACACGTTATTGTTGACCATGTAAAACATAAGCTTAGTTCATTCTAGATCTCTTTCGCCTTCCATGCTGTGACGATTTTAATAATGTTGCATGTGACGTAAACGAGTTAATTTGGAGAGTAGGAAAAGTCAAATGTATAGGCACCACTAATCGGTTGAACGAAACCGTGGAATTTGGATTGCACAAAACAGCCATATTCAGTATTCACCGTTTTCATTTTGGTGGATGATGCTGACTTCGGCCTTTCAGCTCACCTATATCTTATATCTTATATATGAATGGGAATAATAACTAAATCAATAATGATTAGTATTTTATACGTACACTATTTGAACATTGTTCAACGCAAGTTTAAGAAGATGATGATCATGTACTAGGAGGAACAAGACACTGCCATGGACCATTGAGGAGGGGTCTTTATGTGTTCGTAATGATGCTTTAACAATCAAGTTAGCAAGTGGTGAAGTCAATGGTGAAGGTTTAATAATAATAATAATATATACCTTTGCCATGATTCTTCTCTGTTATACATGCTACATTGATTTACGGTTATCCACTTATGTTTATAATTAAGGTTCTTTATGAATAAAGGAGGGTATATTTGCTATTAGTCACGAGGGATTCTCATATGTGGAAACTTTACGATTAGATATTGGGTTTATTTGGTGATTGGCCCGTTCATCTACTCTATTTTTTTTATGTATTAAAAAAATGATAAATAAAAAATTACGACATTGAAATAATATCTTATCTCATCCATTGAAAACTAAAAATTAGAAAACTTTTTCATATAATATAAATATTTGAATTTCTATTCTTTGACTGCAAGAGCATTAACCACTTTGTTTATATTTCAAGAGATATTCACAAAAATAACCTCTAATTTCAAGTCATCAACTTATTGATATTGCTGACAATATCATAATGTTTGTGAAGATAACTCCTATGATCCAACTTTTGAATCATGGAAACTATCCTATTGTAATCTGATTCACAAATTATGTGTCATTAACTTGAGTTTCAGTACAATTCCAAACATTTCACTATCGTCAACAATTATGCACGAATTGAATCACCATTACTCGTCAAGCTTGTAAAACCACTCTTTCAACCTCCTATTACATCTCTCGCAACACCTCAAAATCCCATAATTAACTCTTTTGTCACTCAACCAACTACCACTTCATTCAACTTTAGTCTCAGTATCCAGGGGGAACCAATATACATTCTTTTCTCAACTCCTCCTCTACTTCAAATATAGGAGATTATCCACAATAGTTATCTCAATATGATGTATCACCTATTGAATACGTTCAAAATTGTGGGTTAATTTAAAATAAATATGCTTCTTAATTATGACTAATTAGCACTAGCTCATGATACATACATTTAAAAAAAAATACACTCCCTTTTCCTTTTTTGAAAAAAAAATTAAGATACTCTTCTAATTAGTTTTGTTTTAAAAAAATTATTTACAAAATTATCTTTTTCATTCACTTCCTTCCTTCATTTTTCCTTTTTTTCTTTTAGTTTATCTAATCTTTATTTTTTTTCTTTTCATTTTTTGGTTATTAATTTATCTTTTCAACAATTAAGATAGTCATACATTGTCTTTATATTTTTTAAATTATATTTTTCACTTTTAACTTTATCATTTTTTTAACCTTCTTTTTCACTCTATTTTCATTGTTCCCTACATTAAATATAAGATACAAATTAATGTGTTAAATTATAATTTTTATTTATAATCATAAGAAATATCTCTTAAATTTTTTTGCCAATACATGCATTGGTAACATATACAATTGATGCTAGAGGTATTCAGTTGAATTTATATTTCTTTTTCATACTTTTAGAAGCTTATTTTTTGTGTTCTAGAAATTATTAATTTTAGTGTTACGGAAGTATGTAAAAAACACACTTTTGAGAAATTTGTAAACACTTACTGTCGCACATCAATGTCACTACTAGTACTTGGGTGCTTGTAAGAACTGAAAAATAAGAGAAAATAAAGAATGCATATAAAAACTGAAAAAAGAGAAATAAAAAGATGTATATGAGAAAGGGAAAACAACAAGCAAGAAGGGAATATATGTGAAAGGAATAATTAGTATAATAATTAAGGTATATTATTAAGTGAAATTGTATATGAAAAAAGTTATTAGCATTTTAGACTTTGGTTTCTGTATTGTATATGATAAACTAGTGTAATAACCATATCTTGGACGGGTTAAGTTTATAGTTTATAAATTTTATATATTATATTATAGTTTTAAATTATTTTAAATTTTACAAATATAAGTAAATATCATATTTAAATATTTATATATACACTAATAAATAATAAACATTGATATATTTTTACATAATTGTATAATAACACATGTCTTGTATATTTTATAATTCTTAAAATTATATGGTAGTAGAATATTTTACTATAATCATAGTTTAAAGTGTTTATTTTATAATAATAAGTTAAGTTTAATTGTTGTTTATTATAATTTATCTTAATTACATTTCAATTTTCAAGTAATGAAATTCAAGGAGAGAGATAATTTGTAACAAAAAAGTAACTATTATTGTTTTTAAGTCTCAATTAAAATACCTAAGCTTCAATTACATGTAGGTGATTATAATTAATATATATATGTATATAGATTATAATAATAACGATATAATTTTTACTAAGTATTACATCGCTCAATAATTTTATATTAAATGTAAATTTTGTAAATCTAACTGTTAGATTGAAAGTTCTTTCATCTTAGATCATATATATATATAAAATTTTATATTAATTTAAAATGATTTGATATTTTATTATTATAAAACCAAATTAATGTAATATATAATATTTTAAAATATACTAAAATTTGAACACTTTAATTACCTTCAAGTTTGATATAAACATATAAAGTAATATAAATTTTCAATAACGACTAGATTTACAAAATTCACATTTAATATAAAGTTATTGAACGGTGTAATATTTAATAAAAGTTACACCGGTATTATTATAACCCTCATTATATATATATATATATATA